AAAAGAACACGAGAATACTATCTTGCAGTATCGATGTGATGTATCTATGTGAATTTGTAACCAGCAGCAACTAACTCTTATATCAATGTGATATTGATAAAAAAAAATGCCCATTTAAACTGTATTGTATTTACTAGCTTTTGGTTCTTTTCATACAAGAAATATTACAAATTTATAACTACATGCTTACCAAGCATGATCTTGAATTAAAAACTATGGACATTTTCCTTGACAACTCGCTCACTCTCTCCTAACCTTATGACTTTATACAATGAGAATAATTATTACATAATCACAGAAGAGCACCTAACTCGCAGGGGCCACCATCATCAAAGTAGCCCTCATGAAAGAGGCCTGCCTTGATGATGAGGGAGGGCCCCACATATTCAGCACCCTCTTTTTGGTGTTCCATGTTTTTGGTGGTTTTCAAATGAGGCCCTGTTCATCATGTTTGGTGTTTTTTCCACTTTTCTTCTGTTTTTGCAGAACAGCTGTGTAAGGGAAGGGTGATTGGTACCAGATTTTTAAGGTAAGTATTGAATGTACTGCTTTTATTTTACTTTCCTATTTTTTTATGCCTAGCTGTATTGAGAACTTAATATGTGACTATGTAAACACGTCATCAGGCATTTTAGACGAATTCAATGTTGAAAAAAATCTTTTCCACCCATTGGTGATTTTTGCTTATTGTTGGGGAGGCAGGACATAACAGCTGTTGAAACAGGGCCCTTCTATACTGATACTGCTCAAAAAACCTAGGCCTACAGAAAAACATTTATCTTATTGATCACTAGGAAAATTCAGTCAAACATTTTTCAACCCTCCCATTTATTGTAACTTATCTGACCTGACCCAACCCAGCAACTGCAAATATTGTACAAAAACCAATCTATATATGTAATGTGTACCAAGTATGGAAGTACATGCATATGTGCGCACCCCATTCCCACATGCTGTACCTCAAACCAATCATGAACAATCTTACTAAAATTATTACTGTGCCACATTTCTTTAATCATTGTAATGTCTCATTCATAGATCTATGTCACTGATGCCAGTGTCATTCATGTAGATCTATGTATTAAGTACAGCTCCTTTAGCCCTTGAACTGTCCAAATGTAGAGCTACGTTCACGTGCACAGCATTCCGACCTTGATTTTCCCCATTTGAAAGCATGTAAAAAAAAAAAAAAGTAGATCTACTTTCGGAGCCTGACGCACGTCAATGTATATCTACGTTTGGACAGTTTAAGGGTTGAGTAAGCTGTGAGCAGTAAATTTTGGCCTAGCCCTGAAGACTGGGTCTGTGCAGCAAATGTGTACAGTACAAGAAAAAATCCTACACCACGCAGTGCACAAAGAAAAAAACCTCTGACACTGATTTAATACAGCAGCTTCGCGGTGTTTTCTAGGATGGCTTTTATGGTTTTATTGGAAGTTTCTTGGCATTAATTGAAAAAATGGGAAGACATACTAATGAAGTAGAGATGATTTTGGTCAGTTTCAGACAAAGTATCTGGAAATAGTGCTTAAAATGGAAGAAATATTCAGTTTTTGGTCATTTTTCTGAGGAAGGTTAGGGCCCCCTTTCCCCATCCCCTCCTGGTTTGTTTTATGGGTTGTTATTCAGTCTGCTTCAATTTTTGGGACAGCCTAAACCATGACCATTCATTTTTGCTTATATTTTATCAAAAAATATGGTAACACTTCCATGTTCTATGTAATGACAGATTCAAAATGGAAAGCAAGTCTTATGAAAGAGGCCTGGGGATGTGATTAATGAACAGAGAAAAGGTTGCTTTAGTAGCTGGAAGGACAACAGTGTTTACTTTGGACTCTGTTTATAAAGTGAAATTTTTTGAAATGCAAGTTACAGAGATCTCAGGAAATGCAAAGATTTCCCCAAAAATTTTAAGGTCTGGGGTAGAAGTATTAACCTTTCCACTGTTGCAGTCCCAGAAATTAAAAATGCTAACAGTGTTGCAATTATAAAAAAGAGGCAAAGAGGGGTATGTATGAGAGTATAGTTTTACCAACGCTCTTATATGGGTGTGAAGCATGGGTGATGAATGTTGCAGCGAGGAGAAGGCTGGTTGCAGTTTAAAAACTGTAGTGTAAAGCACCCTTCTGGCAAGACAATGATGGAGTGAATGATGGTAAAAGTTTTTCTTTTTCGGGCCACCCTGCCTTGGTGGGAATCGGCCAGTGTGATAATAAATAATAAAAAATATACATGTACAGTGGAACCTCAAAAATCGAACTGCTCCCAACACAACCAATTATGTAAGTGTATTTTTGTAAGTGCTTTTATAAGCATATTTTTGAGAGTCTGAAATGGACTTATCTAATTTACATTATTCCTGATGGGAATAAATTCATTTGGTAAAGGCACTCGAACAGCCTTCTGGACTGAAGAAAGTTCGATATTTGAGGTTCCACTGTATAATAATAAATTACTGTATAAATTATTAAATGTAAAAAGAAATTTTTTTTTCTCCTTTTTCAGGTCACCCTGCCTAGGTGGACGGCCAGTGTGTTAACTTTTTTTTTTTCAGCATGTTGGCGATCTCCCACTGGAGCAGGGTGACCCAAAAGACAAAACTATAGATTTGTTTCTTCTTTTTACATTTAGTAAGTAAAAAAGTGTAGGGTGATGGAACAAGAACATGAGAAATGTTGCAATTCAAAAACTAAACTATGGAGATATGAAAGACCATACACAAATAACCCCCACATATGAAAGAGAAGATTACAATGTTGATATTGTGCCTTTTGCTCTTAATGAAAGACCAGTTTACCTGGAGGAAGAAATCACCTGAACCACCTTGCTATAAACATACTTCACAAGATGTTACATTCACAGATTTTGTTAACATGCAGATACTACAAAAGTACACAAGTCCTGAAGACTAGTATACTTTTGTAATTTGATTATTTCTGTTAACCTTCATTAGACCAGATATTGAGTATAACAGTAGTCAAAATGCAAGACTAATTTAAGGTGGAAATAAGACTAAGGATGAATGATGTCACTTTAGAGGTTTAAAGATTTAAATATTAGAATAACACAGTGCAACAGTAAATTTAAAGAAGAATGGAAAGAAATTAAATAGGAAAATGCTGTAGCATACTGATAATACATTTCTGGTAGAGAATCATATTCTGAAGACAATGATGCCAAAAATGTGAAATCTGATGGAAAAACTTACAGAATTATGCAGGCACAAATTTGGCAGTCTGGGCACAATTCACACATCACCAATTTCACAAGCTTTGAGTTCTATTTTCAACCAATTCCAATGCTCAGTTAGACCCAATTCCTTGCTATTTCTCTAGTACATGTATGCCTTTTGTTTTATTGACTGAACACAAGAAATTGCCCATTCAGTATCAGTACCCTATAATGTGCACAGACATTGGTAATTTGAACACTTTTACACAAATTTCTAAGTTTTGCATTTGAATACAAGTTTTATGTATTGTATTAATGGTATAAAAGCCAAGAAAACAGAGCTGTCATTAAAACCCTAACAGATAAAAAAGCAGTTAAGGATTGCAAATGGTTGTTGAAGAAACTTGAAGTATTTCAATGTAATGTATCAACCAATTTTCCTTGACACTAGTTTTGAAACTGTTACTGTTATTTATTAAGGCTAATTAGTACAACAAACTTTTAGTAGAAATTTCCAAAATATAAAAGAAGCAATTTATGAACATACTGCATAGCTAGGAGTTCTGAAATAAGCCTGAAGACGAGAGGCATCATGGTTTTCCTTAGCTCTCATTAAAAAAGGGTAACCCAGCATCTTCTCACTGACAAAAGAACTAATGAGTTTGTCAAGTTTACAATATTGTTTCTTAATGACTCTACCTACTGATTAAAAAATCCATTAGACTACAGGTGCAATTTAAAGGCATGTTTATTAAAAACTCTTGAAGCCTGAGATAAGGTTAATCTAAAATTAACATTTAACATGTTATATTACAGAACCTGATTCAACTTCTGATTTTTCCCTGATTTTTCTCAGTTGTGACTGGATAATGGTCCAAAACAGACTGATACATTATCTGGAGTTTCTTTTCTAAAGTGTGGGTTAACTTTGAATTGATGAGCAAGTCATGTACAATGCCTTGGTATCTTCATTATTTAGACACTTTGCCAACCAGTGACTTTCAATTCACTAGATTGTGGATTCAGTGAAAGGTGAAGTACTTAATAGGTGTTCAGCCCCTTGGCCTAGATCAAGGTTAAGGTATTAAGGTACTGAACACCTACCAAGGCTGAGGGACTGATTACCTGATCTTCCACTGTCTCCATAATCATTGTACTGAATTGAAAAAGTCACTAGTTGGCAACAAGTCTTCATAATAAAGCTAGCAAGGTGTTGCACATGTATCTTATTCATTAACTTGTCAGTTCTGTATACTATGGATGTGCCAAAAATCAGTACTAATGGCATCAGCTAATTTTGATGGTATTAATGTCAGTGATCTGATCATTTTTAATGACATTAGTAATAGCCTAAAACAAAGTATTGGTAAAAATTTTGGTATGGTCCCATCCCTATAGTACATCATTAGTGTAATGATAGCCGTGAATTGTTCCAGACACGGTACTGTGACTTATTCTTTACCTATGTCCCTCTCATGACCTACTCCCTATATAGATAAATATCCATGTCACACTCATATCCAATGCCCTGTATATAAACACTATATATCTCTTATGCCTTAAAACCTCTATATAAGCACCTATGTTTCTCATGTCCAATGCCCTGCCTTTAAGCACTGTATCTACCTCATATCCTACTCCATGTATACAAACACAAAAGTTTCTCTCATGCCCTATATCCTGTACATAAGGACCAATATCTCCTCACTGCCAATGCCCTATAGTAGTGCAACTCCTGCCTTGCATATTATTTTTCATCCAGCACAGTGTCTGCAGTTTTCTGCAGAGTATATAGACATATCTTGTTGTCTATAAATCAGTGACCTTACCTCCCAAAATGTGCAAAGCAAGTTCTTCTCAAGTGCACGGCACAATGTCAACTGCGTCACTGAGAGTCTGCTGTCATGTGGATCTCGAGACCCTTGCTATTTACTAAAATAAAACAAAAAATATACAAATAAAGAAATAAGCAAATAGATAAATTAAAGAATTTATTTCAATTTATAAGAAACATGAAAAGAGAGGAGGGCCCCCCTTTCTTTACAAAATATACATACAATGAACCTGTGAAGAAGGCTGCTTTTGTATATATACAGTAATTCACACTCTCTTTTATAATGCTAAATGTTCTGTAGCAAAAAAAAAAAAAAATATATATATATATATAAAGCAAAATATAAAGATTTGTCAGGTAAGATTCAGGATTAATTAACAAAAGAATCTATGTATAGTAATAGTGCTGTACATTTTAAATTTGAAACTTAAAACACAGACAAGCAAAAAAAAATTATACAACATTTTTATTATAAAATATATAATTAGCTATATATACAGTACTGTAAAATACAGAATAACTACACAGAATGCTGTATAATCCATCACAGACTAGTGTGAGAAATTTCAACCAGAACCACCAGCACTCAAGTCTGTCACGTTAGCTTCCAAATTATAAACAAACAAGCACTACAACCATTCTTCATATTTATACAAAAGCTTGGGTTGTGACAAGCACTTTGGGAGAAGTCATTAGAGGAAAAGCAGACAAAATACTTAGAAAAAGAAAAAAAAAAAAAAAACTTATGGAGAAACAGTTTAATTTACGATCAGCAAAGGCTTGTACTGCATAGCAAATCTAACTAACCACATGAAAAACAAGATATTAATCCTTGCATTTATGTCCTTGCATCCAGCTCAAATATGCATGGAACTCTCTGGGCTAATTGTAGAGAACCGGCAGGTAAATAAGGCACCCCAAGAACTTGTTTCCATAATTATAGCTACAGCCTCTTGCATTCTGCAAATTCAATTTTCCATACCATCCATACACAACAAATAGCACAGCCATTATAAACTATCTAAATCCACTTGAAAAAAGCAATCATAAAATATAATTTGGGAAGGAAAAAACAAAAAAGATAATACAGATATGAAAAACTATATTACAAGAAAAATTATGGTCTAAAGCAGCAATATTTCTAAGAAACATTTGTAATAAAACATTACATGAAACAGATAAAACAAATTATGCAAGGAGTGATGCACCATGTACGTACTGTATGCTGCATTTTCCCTACTGTTCTCCTGCAAGTGAAAACTCTCTAATACCTGGGAGCCAGGAGGAAGGGCTCAATACAACTTGCACCATGGTGGCCCTTTAAAAAATGTAACACTACTGTACGCTATTTAACCCGTAAACGGTCCAAATGTATATATACGTTTTTTCAACATTTGAAAGTACAGTGGACCCCCGCTTAACGATCACCTCCCAATGCGACCAATTATGTAAGTGTATTTATGTAAGTGCTTTTGTACGTGTATGTTTGGGGGTCTGAAATGGACTAATCTACTTCACAATATTCCTTATGGGAACAAATTCGGTCAGTACTGGCACCTGAACATACTTCTGGAATGAAAAAATATCGTTAATCGGGGGTCCACTGTATATAAAAAAAGTACTATCTTCTTTTTGTTTTTCTACATATGAAAATGTGTAAAAAAAACTTTGATCTACTTTTTTTGTTGTTATATTTGAAAATATGTAAAAAAACTTAGATCTACTTTTGTAGCACTACACATGTGAACGTAGATCTGCTTGGACCGTTTACGGGTTAAAAAAAAATTGTTCCAAAAAGTTGGGAAAAAGACCCTACAATAATGACTGACTTAACAGATGCTCGAGTGCCAAAGAGAGAAAGAAAAAAAAAGAGAATTGAATCCAATATAAGAAACATACAAATCCAAGGAGTTATCAGAGATTCAAGTAAGATAAAAATGAATATACAAAAGTAAAGAGGAAAAACAAATGAAATAGCAGACAAGAGCATAACGAAACTAATCTATTAAAATTTATATAAAAAAAAAAAGGTCAAATTTTCTGGTCTGAGAAGGAAATGTCTAAGATGATAATATTGTGTGGTTACAATGTGTTAACACAAGAGGGCATTTAAAATATAGAAGCGTAAATCCCTAATCAACCAACTGGGCTATCTTTGATTAAATTCTACATAACATCCTACAGTATACATAAAACCATTGTAAAGTTTAAAATTATGCACAAGGCCTAAATAAGAACTAACACTGAAATATATCTGGTTTAAAAACTAAATGCTAGGATGTTGTTTTAATAGTTTATAAAACTGACAGTAGATGAATAAGATACTATATGCAACACTTGGGTATCTTTAATATGTTAAGTTTTGCCAACCAGTGGCTTTATCAATTTAATATAAAAAATAATCCTGGAGCTGGTGTAAGACATACATGTAGTAGTTTGAGGTCATCAATCCCCTTGCCTTGAATGGAAGTGTTTATTCCATCAGTTTGGCTGAATCTAAAATTGATGCCTGAGGATGCATCACAGGTGGGTAGAGTTCACTAGTGAAAGTAGATCATTTTAGTTTAATATGTTTATTATGCACTCCATACCCATCCTGTGAGCGGTAGTCAAAAGATTACAGAAGTACATAATTGGTCCGGGGACTGGACTCCAAAGTTTTGATAGCTGAGCAAGTTACAGAGGTAATGAACTCACAATTACAAAGGTAATGAACTCACAATTTACAAAGGTAATGAACTCACAATTTACAAAGGTAATGAACTCCAGGCAGGTCTGGTCACAATCATGACAAGTTACAAAGGTATTTACAGATTACAGAGGTACATAATGGGTCCAGGGACTGGGCCCCCAAAGTTTTGATAGCTGAACTAGGTACAAGGGTAATGAACTCACAAGTTACAAAGGTAATGAATCCTGTAAGAATGGTTACTTACGTTTATACATGGCTACAATCATGAACAAATTACATAGAGTAATGAGCAATTCACACTTCCACACCCGGTCACAACTGTAATGAGTTATTGGTGCAAATATTGATTGTTGAGTCTCACACACACACACACACACACACACACACACACACACACACACAAACACACACACAAACATAAGGTCAAACAGTAATGACAACCACCACAAACTGCAGGACCAAAAAAAACAAACACAACAAAACACACACACCCAAACACACAAGCAAATTAACTATATGATCAAATCATGAGATACGAAAACACCCACACAAACAAGACACAAATATGAGTGATAAATATGCATAAATGTAAACCACCACAACCAGGAGGCAGGAGAGGAAAGAACAGCAAGCTGGACCTTTATCACCTTGAATTCAGCCGAGGTGTCCATGGTATGAACAGGGGGAGCTAGTATATTATGTGATTTCATCATGAGCTTAACTAAACTGGAGCCATTGGGGGTCCCAAATGGAGAGAGATGATAGGAATGAGGACTGGAAACAACTCATGCAACAACTGTTATGAGGACTCCTCAAGAGATAGTTGGAGAGGGAACAGAACTGACTTGCATGATAAACCAGGGTACAAGAAACCTGATAGGACTATGTTGGCAACAAGAGCTCAAAGGAGGCAGACGGAAGGTTTGGGTTTCCACATGAGGGAAGACAGAAACAGTAAAAATGGGATAGGAAAACAGGAACGAGGTTCCCTTTGGTTCACCCAAAACGTGTAGGGAGGCAAAAACTAGGTGTACTAGAGAATGGAAAAGGTACAGAAGACAGAGAACTCAGGAAAATAAAGAAATCAGCCGAAGAGCCAGAAACAAATATGCACAGATAAGAAGGGAGGCTCAGAGACAATATGAAAATGACATAGCATCAAAAGTAAAGACTGACCCGAAGCTGTTGTACAGCCACTTCAGGAGGAAAACAACAGTCAAGGACCAGGTAATCAGACTGAGGAAGGGTGATGGGGAATTCACAAGAAATGACCAAGAGGTATGTCAGGAGCTCAACACAAGATTTAAAGAGGTATTTACAGTGGAAACCAGTAGGACTCCAGGAAATCAGAACAGGGGGGCACACCAGTAAGTGCTGGATGAGGTACATATAACCAAGGAGGAGGTGAAGAAGCTGCTATGCGAACTTGACACCTCAAAGGCGGTGGGACCAGACATCTCTCCATGGGTCCTTAAAGAGGGAGCAGAGATATTGTGTGAGCCATTAACAAAGATCTTCAACACATCATTTGAAACTAGGCAACTCCCTGAGGTATGGAAAATGGCAAATGTAGTCCCAATTTTTAAAAAGGGAGACAGACATGAGGCACTAAACTAGAGACCTGTATCACTGACGTGTATAGTATGCAAGGTCATGGAGATCATCATCAGGAGGAGAGTGGTGGGGCACCTGGAAAGAAATCAAGTGTATAATTGACAACCAGCACAGTTTCAGGGAAGGAAAATCCTGTGTCACAAACCTACTAGAGTTTTATGACAAGGTGACAGAAGTAAGACAAGAGAGAGGGGGGTGGATCGACTGCATATTTTTGGACTGCAAGAAGGCCTTCGACACAATTCCTCACAAGAGGTTACTGCAAAAGCTAGAGGATTAGGCACACAAAACAGGAAAGGCACTGCAATGGATCATAGAATATCTGACAGGGAGGCAACAATGAGTCATGGTACGCGACGAGGTGTCAGAGTGGGCACCTGTGACAAGCGGGGTTCCACAGGGGTCAGTCCTAGGACCTGTGCTGTTCTTGGTGTATGTGAACGACATAACGGAAGGGATAGACTCAGAAGTGTCCTTGTTTGCAGATGATGCGAAGTTAGTGAGAAGAATCAAATCGGATGAGGATCAGGCAGGACTACAAAGAGACCTGGACAGGCTACAAGTCTGGTCCAGCAACTGGCTCCTTGAATTTAACCCTGCCAAATGCAAAGTCATGAAGATTGGGGAAGGGCAAAGAAGACCGCAGACACAATATAGTTTAGATGGCCAAAGACTGCAAACCTCACTCAAGGAAAAAGATCTGGGGGTGAGTATAACACCGGGCATATCTCCTGAGGCGCACATCAATCAGATAACTGCTGCAGCATACGGGCGCCTGGCAAACCTACGGATAGCGTTCCGATACCTCAGTAAGGATTCGTTTAAGACTCTGTATACCATTTACGTCAGGCCCATACTGGAGTATGCAGCACCAGTTTGGAATCCACACCTAGTCAAGCACGTCAAGAAATTAGAGAAAGTGCAAAGGTTTGCAACAAGACTAGTCCCAGAGCTACGGGGATTGTCCTACGAAGAAAGGTTGAGGGAAATCGGCCTGACGACACTGGAGGACAGGAGGGTCAGGGGAGACATGATAACGACATATAAAATACTGCGCGGAATAGACAAGGTGGACAAAGACGGGATGTTCCAGAGAAGGGACACAGACACAAGAGGTCACAATTGGAAGTTGAAGACTCAGATGAATCAAAGGGATGTTAGGAAGTATTTCTTCAGTCATAGAGTAGTCAGGCCGTGGAATAGCCTAGAAACTGACGTAGTGGAGGCGGGAACCATACATAGTTTTAAGGCGAGGTATGATAGAGCTCATGGGGCAGGGAGAGAGAGGACCTAGTAGCAATCAGCGAAGAGGTAGGGCCAGGAGCTGTGACTCGACCCCTGCAACCACAAATAGGTGAGTACAAATAGGCGAGTACACACAAACACACACACACACAAGTAGATCATACTAACAGATTAGGCAATAGTAGAGTAGCACAAGAATTCCGAGGATGGGCACAGTGAATTCTTATGCTACTCTACTGTTGCCTAATCCATTCCCATGATCTACTTACACAACTGGGCTCCCCCCACCTATGCTGGCTTCTAACTATATCACCTCTCTATCTCCTGTATATAAGCCAGCATCCTCGAGTAACTTGTGATTCGACCAGACTGTGGGTGCTCATACCTGGGTAACAGTGTCCTCAGTTCCCACACTGTGGGACTGGGAATCACTCAATGTCACAGGTAAAATTTTGGGCACATTTCCTTACATTTGCTGCCTCTGTTTTCCTAGGTACCTGGGTGTTAGTCAACTCCTGTGGTTACACCCTGAGTGAGAAGATTAAAGTAACCCAATGGAAATAAGACAGTCCCTGATGATGCACAAACTAAGCTACAATTATCACAAACTAAGTACAATTATCATAGTGTAAATTACTTAGGATAACCCAAAAAAAAAGTTAAAGTGACTATTGGGTTTTTCTGGGTGGCTAACCCTCTGGGTTAAAAATCCCCAAAACAATCTAATCTAATCTTATGGACTGAACAGTTTCAAGAAAGGCTGAAGGACTGCTTCATGTCTTGCACCATCTCCATAATTATTCTCTGTATTGGACTGATAAAGCCTCTGGTTGACAAAACATATTTTACACTGTTAGATGAAGTTTTTAAAAATAATATTTAACTGAATGAAGTTAATCACTCTGCAAAGTTTTAGGATTTCATTAAAAGATAAACTATGAACAACTGCAAAATAACACTAATATGAAAAAGAATAAGGAAAACCCTTCGAGCCAGTGACTTGCACTCTGAAAATAGAAGAAATATCCATGACAGAAATGCGAGCTATATTCAAAATAATTAGGAAATACAAGGACCCCAATGGAAATGACTCACTTTTGACTTTTTTCTTGGGTTATCCTGGGTAATTTACACTACGTATAATAAGTGTACTTATGTGTACCTGTACCTAAATAAACTTACTAGGATACATTAGCTGTGAGGGTCATCTGATTGAGGTGTTGTCAAGTGTTGTTTAAAACTGTGTACAACATTTTTCCTTGATGTCCAGTTCTGGTATAACTCCGGCACTTAACTAGCACATCTTAGGTCAACTGACATCAAGTGTCAGGCAGTGACAGTTAGGTATAGGATATCCACCTCTGATAATGACATATTACACCATGCCCGCCCGAGTCAACCATCATTCCTCACTAGTTAGTGCCACCAACCCACCTCTCGAGGTGCCACCCCCCTCCCCGTGGCACTCACCACCTCACTCCCCACACCACTCACAAAAGGACATAAAACAGTACCTGAAACTGGACAATCTTCTCGGTGTGTTCCTGTGTCAGGTGTTGAGTGTGGTCGGCCATGTTTGTGTACACTGAAGCAACACTCACCAGACACCACCACCATCACTACCCCTCCTCCAACACCCCTCCTCCAACACCCCTTCCTCCAACACCCCTTCCTTCAACACCCCTTCCTCCAACACCCCTTCCTTCAACACCTCCCCCAGCCTCCTCCTCATGCTGCCATCTACCCATTGTAAGCACAAACTACCTACAACAGCCTCACCACCAGGGAACCTCTCAAGGGAGGTTCCTTGATGCTGGTGAGGGGCTCTTGATCTTGGGAATTGGCTCTGTGCTCCGGTTCCCTGAATTGAGTCTGAATACCTTCCATCCCCCCCACAGGCACTGTATAATCCTACGGGTTTAGTGCTCCCCCATAATTATAATAACCACCAAGGAAGATTTGTTGGGATTTTTTACCCGGGGGTAAAGTTAGTCATCCAAGATAACCCAGTGCGTCATCCAGGATAACGCAGTGCGTCATTCAGGATAACCCAGTGTGTCATCCAGGGTAACCCAGTGTCATCCAGGATAACCCAGCATGTCATCCATGATAACCCAGTGTGTCATCCAGGATAACCCAGTGCGTCATCCAGGATTAACCCAGTGCTCCATTCCCATGGTCTAGAAACCAGTGTCATCCCCCAGGCATTATAACCCAGTGCAATATCCAGGATCCAGTGCGTCATCCAGGTAACCAGTGCGTCATCCAGATAACCCAGTGCGTCATCCAGGATAACCCAGTGCGTCATCCAGGATAACCCAGTGCGTCATCCAGGATAACCCAGTGTCATCCATGATAACCAGTGGTCATCCAGATAACCCAGTGTGTCATCCATGATAACCCGGTGTCATCCAGGATAACCCAGTGCGTCATCCATGATAACCCAGTGCGTCATCCAGGATAAACCAGTGCGCCATCCAGGATAACCCAGTGTGTCATCCAGGATAACTCAGTGTGTCATCCAGGATAACACAGTGCGTCATCCATGATAACCCAGTGCGTCATCCAGGATAAACCAGTGCGTCATCCAGGATAACCCAGTGTGTCATCCAGGATAACCAGTGCGTCATCCATGATAACCCAGTGCGTCATCCAGGATAACCCAGTGCGTCATCCAGGATAAACCAGTGCGTCATCCAGGATAACCCAGTGTCATCCAGGATAACCCAGTGTGTCATCCAGGATAACCCAGTGCGTCATCCATGATAACCCAGTGCGTCATCCAGATAAACCAGTGTGCCATCCAGGATAACCCAGTGTGTCATCCAGGATAACCCAGTTGCTCATCCAAATAAACCAGTGCTCATCCAGGATAACAGTGCGTCATCCAGGTAACCAGTGGTCATCCGATAACCCAGTGCTCATCCAGGATAACCCAGTGTGTCATCCAATAAACCAGTGCGTCATCCAGGATAACCAGTGCGTCATCCAGGATAACCCAGTGCGTCATCCAGATAACCAGTGTTCACCAGGATAACCCAGTGCGTCATCCAGGATAACCCAGTGTGTCATCCATGATAACCCAGTGTGTCATCCAGGATAACCCAGTGCGTCATCCAGGATAACCCAGTGCATCATCCAGGATAATCAGTGCGTCATCCAGGATAAACCAGTGCGTCATCAGGATAACCCAGTGCGTCATCCAGGATAACCCAGTGTCATCCAGGATCACAGTCTGCGTCATCAGATAACCCAGTGTCATCCATGATAACCCAGTGTCATCCAGGATAACCCAGTGCGTCATCCAGGATAACCCAGTATGTCATCCATGATAACCCAGTGTCATCCAGGATAACCCAGTGCGTCATCCATAACCAGTGCGTCATCCAGGATAAACCAGTGCGTCATCCAGGATAAACCAGTGCGTCATCCAGGATAACCCAGTGTGTCATCCATGATAACCCAGTGTGTATCATAACCAGTGGTATAGGTAACCCAGTGCGTCATCCAGGATAACCAGTGTCATCATGTACGGTTCATCCAGTAACCAGTGCGTCATCCAGGATAACCCAGTGTGTCATCCAGGATAACCAGGCATCCAGGATACAGTGCGTCATCCATGATAACCCAGTGCGTCATCCAGGATAACCCAGTGTGTCATCCAGGATAACCCAGTTGTCATCCAGGATAACCCAGTGCGTCATCCATGATAACCCAGTGCGTCATCCATGATAACCCAGTGTGTCATCCATGATAACCCAGTGTGTCATCCAGGATAACCCAGTGTGTCATCCATGATAGCCCAGTGCGTCATCCAGGATAACCCAGTGTGTCATCCATGATAACCCAGTGTGTCATCCAAGATAAACCAGTGCGCCATCCAGGATAACCCAGTGCGTCATCCAGGATAACCCAGTGTGTCATCCAGGATAACCCAGTGTGTCACCCAGGATAACCCAGTGCGTCATCCAAGATAAACCAGTGCGCCATCCAGGATAACCCAGTGCGTCATCCAGGATAACCCAGTACGTTATCCAAAATAAACCAGTGCGTCATCCAGGATAAACCAGTGCGTTATCCAGGATAAACCAGTGCGTCATCCAGAATTGTCATTTATTTCTATTGTGGCCCTTTAATTAATCTTGTCCCCCAGGATGCCACCCACACCAGGTGTAAGGAAACGACCAACGTTTTCACCCATGCTGGGGACTGAACCATGGACACACAAGTGAGAGGCGAATGCGTTGCCTACTGAGCAAGAATGAAGAAAGATGAAAACAATGAAAGAAACAAGAACAAAAGGGAAAACTAGAAGAAAAAAACAAGAGGACGAAACAAGAGAAGACTAGATGGAACAATTACCTGCACATAAATAACAAAAAGGCACAATACCGTGACTGGAACGATACACAAATAACCATCCTGCTCCACCTCTGTTAGTGTGACTTTGTCAATGGTCCAAGTCGGACCGAAACGTCGTCGTAAGCTTCTCTCTTTTATGTGCGGGTTATTTGTGTATAATTACCTGCACATTTCAAAGCCTGTCATATTATAATCAAGGGGCAGCGCTAAACCCGTAGGATTATACAGCGACTGTGGGGGGGGGATGGAAAGTATTCAGGCTTAATTCAGGAAACTGGAGCACAGATCCAATTCTCTAGATCAAGAGCCCCTAACCAGCGTCAAGGAACCTTCCTTGAGGGGAAAGCCACTTCAAGAAGAGAGCCAGAATGTACCTAAAGAATGTAGCGACAGAAAGGGAGAATATTGATTTGTAGTATAGCTAATATACAAGTAACTATTATTTTAAATCAGTATTATAATAAAAAAGAAGCGCTAAACCACAAGGGCTATACAGCACAAGTACCTATAAGTAAGTAAGTAATTTTATTCAGGTATACACAAATACAGTTACATAGAATTATCATACACAGCAGCATATGTGTAGAGAACCTAGGATAACCCAAGAAAGTCAGACACAGTGATTTATTTCCATTGGGGTCCTATTACTGTGATCTAGCCTCTATTTAATGCATTATTATAATCATGGGGAAGCGCTAAACCCGTAGGATTATACGGCGCACGTAGGAGGAGAGGGGATGGAAACTATGCAGGCTCAATTCAGGGAACCGGAGCACAGATCCAGTTCCCTAGATAACATAAGAACATACCTCGACTCACGAAATCGTACGACACGATTGCAAACAAAACATATCACGAGTGGGGTTTGATCCTGCGGTCAGTCTCAAAACTCCAGACCGTTGCGTTAGCCACTGGACCAGCTAGCCACAATAAGATTCGTCCAACTAGGTACATTTCTACACCATAGGAATGGAATGAATGGAGAAACACTGCAGAAGGCCTACTGGCCCATACAAGGCAGGTCCTTATCAAAACGACCTCTACCCAAGATCAAGAGCCACTCACCAGCGTCCAGGAACCTTCCGTAAGAGGGCTTCAGTACTAATACAGAGATAACTAAGAAAATGAGTACAGTGGACCCCCGGTTCGCAAAGTCATCGGTAACCGATAAATCCGGTATCCGAAGCATTAAATCGCAAAAAATTTGCCTCGGTTCCCGTTACAAAACCCGGTACGCGATACGATTCGTACAAGACGTGTCCACGTGTGGCCTGAACTGCCCTGTGTGTACGCCAGTGTTTACAAGCCAGCCAGTGTGCGCGCATCTAAGTATACATTAGGTACATTCCATATTATCAGTTTTTGGTGCTTGTTTCTGCAAAATAAGTCACTATGGGCCCCAAGAAAGCTTCTAGTGCCAACCCATCGAGACCAAGGGTGCTAATGACTATTGAAATGAAGAAAGAGATAATTGCAAAGTATGAAAGTGGAGTGCGTGTGTCGGACCTGGCCAAGTTGTATATATAGTGGCAGTATATAAAGGACCCCAAATAAGACTGCCATCCCCACGAGCCCCTTTGAGGCGGGGTAGATGGCAGACCAGAGGCCTAGCTTCTCCCTACGAGCCCCGTGAGGGCGGGGAATGTGGCTAGGCCTGGGGACACTTGGTCCCAAAGATGAGGAGGTACTTGTACCTCCTCCCATGGGGGACTTAAGTCTCGAGACACTCCCCAGATAGGGAGCCAAGGCCGGGTCACCACTACTTGGAAAAGACCCGGGCCGGGAGAATACCGGCGAATAAAAAAAAAAAAAAAAAAAAAAAGGACCCCAATGCAGAGCCGGCCTTAGGAGGTGCGGGGCCCAGTTGGGAACATAATAATTATAATAATGGGGGAGCGCTAAACCCGTAGGATTATAGAGCGCACGTGGGGGGGGGGTGTAAGATATTCAGGCTCAATTCAGGGAACCGGAGCACAGATCCAATTCCCTAGATCCAGTTGGGAACAACTTTGGTGGACTCCATGTATGGAAGCAAGCAAACTG